AGCCAAGATCGAACGTAACTAGCTTACTACTAATAAGTGCTAATGGATAGTGATTGGTTTCTTTATAAATTTCATTTGGGCTAATCCAATCAAAAGAGTTTTGATTTTAATGGTTTTATCTCATTTTGCATTTCTTTATCTCTTCAGTCATATTCTCTTCTAGTTGTTCAATCATATCTCACTATAAAATTAATTTCTTTATTCTTGTAGCAATAATTTAAAAGACAGCTTTTTAATTATAAAATTGGTATAAATATTCTTTTATGCAGCACTTGAAAAAGCTAATGTACATTATCTTTTGAGTCAAGACAATTGTTAACAGATACTTTTGTTCTCCAAAATAAATCGTAACACATAGTACATGTACATGAACCATAATCGGTAAACAATCGAAAAAATACAAAAAATTAGTTTTACCACCAAAAATACAATACCCTTGTTAACTGTTTTTTTTATATATATATAACTCAGGGTAAATTCTAGGCTTATGGAGGGAACCAGACTAAACCATGTGGAAGGTGCAGCCCATGGATAGATTTTCTCTTTGGATATACAAATAGGCCGAAAACAAGAGTCTATATCCATGTGAGTGTCCAAAACAATGTGTTTTAGTTTCGCATAACAGGTAAATCGAATTCGTAACGTGTTGGCGTCACAAATCCGTCTCTTTACCACTTGACCACAAGGCTCCGAACACCCTTGTTAACTGTTAAGGCTCATATTTATCAAAGTTGGTACAAAAAGGATGTTGGTTCGCAATGATCATCTCTTTACTTCTCCTTTGCACGCTTAAGTTTTTCTTTTGTCTATACAATACATAATTAAAGTTCTAAGAAGAAAAAGTAACGATAACGAGAAGATTACTTTTCATGGTATTTGATTTTGTTTTTTAAAGTCCAAATTTTGTCAATTTTATTGCATTCAACTAAACCACTAGCCTTTTAGTCTTTTACGTTCTAAATGATAAACACTAGAGTTCACTAAGTATAACAACAACATTTGCAGTTATTGAAAAAGGCTC